GGGAAACACGGTAGTTGAGGGGCTGCCACAGAGAAGAGGGGGTCAACCTATTCTCCACAGTAACCTGAGGGCAGGACAAGAAGCAACGGGTGGAAACTAACCAAGGAGAGGAGCAACCTAGAACTAAGGAGAAACTTCCTAACAGTGAGGACAATTAATCAGTGGAACCGAAGTTGCCTCCAGAAGTTGTGGGTGCTTCATCACTGGAGGCTTTTAAGACAAGACTGGACAACAGCCGCTCCTGCTTGAGGAGTCGGAGTAGAAGACCTCCAAGGTTCCTTCCAATGATGATGTTGGTGGAATATTATATGTGGTATGTGTTGGGAGGTTCTATTGAAAACATTCTTCAGTGGGTCTGAAATCTAGATGGAGGTAACTAAACTATCTAAGAAACATAGAAGTAGTTTTATTTTATTTTATTTTATTAATTAAATTTCTATACCGCCCTTCTCCAATAGGACTCAGGGCGGTGCACAGCCAAGATAAAAACAAAGCATACAAAATTTAAGAACAGTATTAAACAGATAGATAAGTAGGTAGGTAGGTAGGTAGGTAGGTAGGTAGGTAGATAGATAGATAGATAGATACCCTGTTTCCCCCAAAATAAGACATCCCCTGATAATAAGCCCTATCGGGCTTTTTGAGCGCATGGCAATAAGGCCAAGCGCTTATTTCAGGGTTCAAAAAAAATATATAAGACAGGGTCTTATTTTCAGGGAAACACGGTAGTTGAGGGGCTGCCACAGAGAAGAGGGGGTCAACCTATTCTCCACAGTAACCTGAGGGCAGGACAAGAAGCAACGGGTGGAAACTAACCAAGGAGAGGAGCAACCTAGAACTAAGGAGAAACTTCCTAACAGTGAGGACAATTAATCAGTGGAACCGAAGTTGCCTCCAGAAGTTGTGGGTGCTTCATCACTGGAGGCTTTTAAGACAAGACTGGACAACAGCCGCTCCTGCTTGAGGAGTCGGAGTAGAAGACCTCCAAGGTTCCTTCCAATGATGATGTTGGTGGAATATTATATGTGGTATGTGTTGGGAGGTTCTATTGAAAACATTCTTCAGTGGGTCTGAAATCTAGATGGAGGTAACTAAACTATCTAAGAAACATAGAAGTAGTTGAAGTAGCTAGCAAACATGGAAATCCAATGACTGACTTCCTTCTTTCCTTTCCTTCCTTTATGCATTGATTCCTTCCTTCCTTTATGCATTGATTCCTTCCTTCCTTTATGCATTGATTCCTTCCTTCCTTTATGCATTGATTCCTTCCTTCCTTCATGCATTGATTCCTTCCTTCCTTTATGCAGATTCCTTCCTTCCTTCTTTCCTTCCTTCCTTCCTTTATGCATTGATTCCTTCCTTCCTTCTTTCCTTTATGCATTGATTCCTTTCTTCCTTCATGCATTGATTCCTTCCTTCCTTCCTTTATGCATTGATTCCTTCCTTCCTTCATGCATTGATTCCTTCCTTCTTTCCTTCCTTCCTTTATGCATTGATTCCTTCCTTCCTTCCTTTATGCATTGATTCCTTCCTTCTTTTCTTCCTTCCTTTATGCATTGATTTCTTCCTTTCTTCCTTCTTTCCTTTATGCATTGATTCCTTCCTTCCTTCCTTCCTTCCTTCCTTCCTTCCTTCCTTCCTTCCTTCCTTCCTCCCTCCCTCCCTCCCTTCCCTTCCCTTCCCTTCCCTTCCCTTCCTTCCTTGTCCAAGGTCAACCACAATAAAAGACCAGCATACAACATAAAACAATTTGCTGTTCAATTCGTCCCCAACTCAAGACTGATTGATCGATTTAATCCGCTGGTATGCAAACGCCAGTCGAGGCGGTTTACACGTGAAGCTCGAAATAAGAAGAAGAAGAAACAATTATATCTCTCAGCACTTCAGAGAAGAACAAAACCAGAGAAGAACAAATACGGAAATACAACATGAATCAGATCCCATGTCCAGGAATAGTTGACTTCATGGATGACGGTGGGTGAGTAATGACCCTATCATACATCGAGACAATGCTGTCAAACCACCGGCCGCCATCGCTACCAGTTTGGGCGAACCGGTCCAAGCCGGGAGCATTTCACCCCTGGCTTCCAGTAAAATATAAATAAAATATAACAATAAATAAAGTAAACGCTGCTACCCATCGCCCAGTCCTGAAAAAGTGGAACAATCTTGTTTCAGATCATTGTAATAATTGGGATTAGCCTCTTCAATGCTTCCGGAGCGCAAGACGATCAGTTTATCCACTTAATTTCACTTGTTTTCATTTCGCGTGGATGGGGATGTGCTGTGGGCCCACACATATCCTGCTTACAGGCGTCTCCTTGGCAATTTTACAAACAGCCTGTGGTCTTCTTTACCATGGCTTTTTTTTTTTAAAAAAAATCTTTTTTACAGCTTCCTCTGCAGGGACTCTGAGTTGCAGCCCCTCCTGGGCTAGCGTTGGCCTTGCTGTCTACGGAGATTCTCTCCGTCATTTAGGTCTTTATCTTTATCTTTTATTGGATTTGTATACTGCCCTACTCCCGAAGGACTCAGGGCGGCGAACAGCCACAGAATAAAACACATAAATACAAAATTTAAAAACAGAATAAAACCGAATTAAACAATTTGGCCCAGACAAATTAAAAACACCCAATAATTTTAAAAACAAATTAAAACTTACATGGTCGTGGTTGTCCCAAAGGTGGGGTTTTTTTTTTTCCAAGACTGGAAAAAAACTGGACTTTTTGTTTTTTCTCTGAAGACCTTTCGCTTCTCATCCAAGGAAGCTTCTTCAGTTCTCAGCTCAGTTCTTTCTTCAGAAGCTGAAGAAGCTTCTTGGATAAGAAGCGAAACGTCTTCAGAGAAGAACAAGGGAGAAGTCCAGTTTGCCTTTTGGGAAAAAAACAACAACACCACCCACCTTTGAGACTTTGGCCTTGTTCAATTTTTATTCCAACCTGGAAATTGAGTTTCTTGGCGCACTCGCTTCCGACCAGCTCCAAACCACTGAAGGACGGGCCCTCGAATCACTGACCAACCTCTGACTTTGAAAAGTTCTACCTTAATGCCAAGAGGGGCTTAATGAAAAGAAGGACCAGGGGAGACATGATAGCAGTCTTCCGATATCTCAGGGGCTGCCCCAAAGAAGAAGGAGTCAAGCTATTCTCCAAAGCACCTGAGGGCAGGACAAGAAGCAATGGGTGGAAACTCATCAAGGAGAGAAGCAATCTGGAACCAAGGAGAAATTTCCTGACAGTGAGAACAATTCATCAGTGGAACTGCTTGCCTCTAGAAGTTGTGGGTGCTTCATCACTAGAGGTTTTCAAGAAGAGATTGGAGAAGCCATTTATTTGGAAACGTATGGGGTCTCCTGCCTGAGCAGGGGGTTGGACTACAAGACCTCCAAGGTCCCTTCCAACTCTGTTATCCTGTATTATGTCTATCCAACCCCACCCTCCCCAATTAGCCTAAACACAACTTTTACCTAAAGAGAGCAACTGAACATCTCGCTTGGGAAGTATGTAAAACTTGTTTGATACCTGTAACGCCTTCTTGTGGGGAAAAAAATAATTAAATAAATTCTAATGCAAGAATTTCCGAACGACACCGACTTTCCAAAGATGCATTTTGCTCCTTTCTTATTTACTTAATGGGACGCGGCGGCTCAGTGGCTAAGACGCTGAGCTTGTCGATCGAAAGGTTCGGCAGTTCAGCGGTTCGAATCCCGAGCGCCGCATAAACGGGGTGAGCTCCCGTGACGTGTCCCAGCTTCTGCCAACCTAGCAGTTCGAAAGCACGTAAAAAAAAATGCAAGTAGAAAAACAGGGACCACCTTTGGTGGGAAGGGAACAGCGTTCTGTGCGCCTTTGGCGTTGAGTCATGCCAGCCACATGACCACAGAGACGTCTTCGGACAGCGCTGGCTCTTCGGCTTTGAAACGGAGATGAGCAGCGCCCCCTAGAGTCGGGAACGACTAGCACACACGTGCGAGGGGAACCTTTTATTTACTTAGGCAAATTATATCCAAGTTTTCCGCCCAAGGGAGGGAACTCAAGGAAGCTCAAGCATTTAAAACACCCAAACCCAAAAGGTTATAATCTTCAACTCCTAAACCAGTCTGGCAAAAGAGACGCCTCTTTGCAGATTTTCTAGAAGCGAAGAAGGTAAGGGGAAAAAAAAAAAAAAGGCTCTGAATTGAAACCGAGCTCCTGCTGCCTACAGTGACACATCCATGCAGTTTTCCTAGCAACAATAAAAAAAAAAAGAAAGAAAGAAAGAAAATGAGGGTTTTGTTGCCGCTGTCTTTTTTTTTTTTTTTTTAAATATTATTTTCCAGGATACGTTTTTCTTTGACTTCCTAGTCTAGCTTTTAAAAAAAAAAAAAAGAAACAAAAAACTTGCAGAAATGGAAGGGCGCCTGAGCATCCCCCCCACCCCAAATCAGAAAAAGCCACAGCAAAATAGAGGACAAGCCAGTAAAAAAAAAAAAAAAAAAAAAAAAAAAAACCTAAAAATCGCAGTTGCCTTAAAAAAATGCTAAGTTGAACTGCGATGCTTAAAAAAAATATTTTTTTTTTAAAAAAAAATTGGGGGTGGAAAGAGGAGGGTTCGAAACTTCCTCGGTTGGCTATTTCTCGCGTCCGAGATTCTTCGAGCGGTTTTTGCACGTCCCTAAATGATGGATGATGGCAGGTTAAAGGAAAAGAAGAAGAAGAAAAAGAAGAAGAAGAAGAAGAAGAAAAAATCCGACGCGTTATTGGTGCAAAATGTAAACAACGAGCATGTTGGTTTTTACCCAGAAAGTAACCAATAGTTACACTCACCACATATTTATGGACTCAGCCAGTCAGGAACCAACGAAATTATAGACCAAGCCCCTTCCTCAAATCCTCCACGAGCTGCTGGGGGTGGGGGGGGAAGAGAAGGAGGAGGGGAGAGGTCTCCAGAAGGAGAATTCAAGAGTTCAAGCCCCTTCCCCAGATTTCTCCCCCCCCCCCAAAAAAAGTACAGTAACATACCCGTCAGTCTGCTGGCGATTTCTTTGCTCGAAGAAGTGGCAAGAGGAAGGGGGGAGAAGCACCCCCAAAAATACATATAAGCAGCCCCCACCCCCACAATGCACACAGTCCTTATGCACCAGCATCTGCAACCACAGAGTCTCAAGCTTGCAATGAGATAACTTCAGATGCTAAAAATAACCAGCCGGTTGCAATTCCCCCTGTATGTAGCTGGGCAGAAACGGTTCCTTCTTCTCTCTTTCTCTCTTCTCCCCCCCCCTCCCCGCTTCCACCCTCCCTCCCCGGACCGCCTTTCTCCCGGAGCCGCCAGCTTTCCATCGAAAAAGCTAAATTTAGGGGAGGGAGGGGGGAACAAAATAGACCAGAAAAGCCCCTGGGAGGGCACTCCATAGGAAAAGATGATGGAGGGAAAGGAGGAGTGGGGAGGGAGGGAAGGATAGGTCTTAATGCATGGCACAATTTTGGGAGGGGGGGGGGACAGAGGGAGAGAGAGAGAGAGGGAGGGAGGAAGGGGGGGATCGCTCAGGATGTGACTCATGCATTTTATTTTATTTTTATTTTTTTACCTTCAGGCCTGCTTTGCATTCTGCAGGGATGCCACCCCCCCACTTCCCCTTCTGCTAATATAGGACAGCTTCCAAAATCCAGCCCCCTTTCCCCCCCCCAACGAAGAGTGGACAGCTCTTCACCCCATCGAGGCTCTCCGTGAAGTTTCAGGTTCTCCATCGATAATCCCCTCCAAGGATTTATGGGAGAAAAATACTTATTGCTGTAGCAATAATAGGAGGAAGAAGATGGAGAGGAGGAAGGAGGAGGAGAGAAGAACAAGAAGAAGAAGAGAGAGGAAGAGGGGGGAGGAGGAAGAGGAGGAGAAGGAGGAGAAGAGGAGAGGAGAAAGAGGAGAAAGAGAAGGAGGAGGAGGAAGAGGAAGAACAAGAAGAAGAAGAGAGGAGGAGGAGGAAGAGGGAGGAGGAGGAAGAGGAGGAAGAGGAGGAGAAGGAGGAGGAAGAGGAGGAGAGAGAAAGAGGAGAAAGAGAAGGAGGAGGAGGAAGAGGAGACGAGGAGAGGAGGAGGAAGAACAAGAAGAAGGAGGAGGAGGAAGAGGGGAGAGGAGGAGGAAGAGGAGGAAGAGGAGGAGAAGGAGGAGAAGAGGAGGAGGAAGAGGAGAAAGAGAAGAGGAAGAGGAGGACGAGGAGAGGAGGAGGAGGAGGAGGAAGAAAAAAGGAGGAAGAGGAGGGGGAGAAGGAAAGGAGAGGAGAGAGGAAAAGAGGAGAAGAGAAAGAGAAGGAGGAAGAGGAGGAGGAAGAGAGGAGGAGAAGAAACAGAAGGAGGAAGAGGAGGAGGAAGAGGAGGAGGAGAAGAAAGAGAAGGAGGAAGAGGAGGAGGAGAGGGGGAGAAGGAGAGAAGGAGAAGGAGGAAGAGAAGGAGGAGAAAGAAAGAGGAGGAAAGAGAAGGAGGAAGAGGAAGAGGAGGAGGAGAAGGAGAAGAAGGTCTGGAGGTTTATCTGTGTCCTCAGGGTCAACTGAGTGGTACCCCTGATTCCTGTAGTCTGCATTTTTTTCCCTCTGGAAATCCATTCCTACTCCCACACCGTTCAAAGGCTGCTCATCCCAAATTGTGGACACAGGTAAACCTCTCCAAGTGGCCTCCATGACTCTCTAAAAAGGATGCAAATGACCAGTTCTGTCTGCAAGGTATCAATCCTTCCATTCCCCACCATCCTGTCGAAGCTGGAGAAGCTTCTTGGGATGAGAAGCGAAACGTCTTCAAAGAAGAAAGAAGAAAGTCCAGCTGCCTCTTGAAAAAGCACCTTTGGGACAACTGTGACCCGGATGACGGAGAATCTCTACGGACTTTTAGCTGTACAATTTGGGATGAACATCCTTGGAACAATATGGGAGTAGGAATGGATTTCCAGAGGAAAAAATGGCAGACTATGGGAACCATTTCCACCACTCTGATGACCCTGAGGACACAGATAAAACCTTCAAGTGGCCTCAACGACCCTCTAAAAAGGATGCAAATGACCAGCTGCCTGCAAGGAGTATCAATCCTTCCATTAACCACCATACTGTTGAAGCTGGAGAAGCTTCTTGGGATGAGAAGCGAAACGTCTTCAAAAGAAGAAACAAGAAAAGTCCAGTGGCCTCCTGAGAAAGCCCCTTTGGGATAAAATTTAGGCAATTACATCACCGTCCATCCAGGAATGACTGCAGGAATGAACCCAATGTTATAGCTTGCGGGACAAAGCACCAATTGTGAAAGGTGGCGAGATTATATGGCAAATAAAACAGAAATGTTAGAGCATCTGGAAGAAAAAAAACAGGCAACGGAGAGGTATGGTTGCCAACCTCAGGACTCTATCTGTATACTGAATTTTATTTCCGCTTTCGGAATCAGCTGGAGGAAGTGGTTATGTTTCAAACTTCTATTCCACCCTTCCTCCAGGGAACGAAAGTCATGACACAGCTCTCCTACGCACTACACACACACGGGTGTGTAATTATTTTATCCCTGTATGAAGACGCTGCTTATTTAAAAGGGAGATGGATTCAAGATGCGTGCACGAGCCAAGATTTTCCTCGCCGATTTTCCCGGTCCTTTAAGGCCCCCCCAAAAAAGGGGGGGCTGTGAAAATGCGCCAGGATGAGATGAATTCATAAAATTACATTTTTTTGCCGGGGAGTCCTCCATTTACGGCCACGACTGGGCCCAGTGTTTTTGCTGCTAAGTGAGACAGACGCTAAGTGAATTTTTTCCCCATTATATAGGGGACTGGAGGCTAAAACATACAAAGAACAGTTGCTGGAGAAGAGGTGATACCAGAGGCAGGGATTCAGCCAGGGCCTTCAGGACCTCCAGAAGCTCCCATAAGTGAAGAGGAAGAGGAGCCTCTCCTCAATGCACGGGCGCGTAGAGCTGCCAAAAGGCAGGAGTGGCTCCTCAGGAGGAGGTCTCCTCGAGAGTAAGTCTTGGGGCTAATTGGCCGCTCCCCTAGCCTATTTAAGGAAGGACGACAACTGAGGCAATTTGCAGGAAACAACTTCATTCATATTCCTTCGCGTCTTGATTCCAGAAACATTTGATTCGGCTCTTGTTTATCTCTTATCAGTTTTCCTGCAAATTGCTTCTGGGGCATTCTGCCAACCACAGTAAGATTACGGTTATTTGAAATATTGTGCCTCAGAATTGAGTTATTATTCTTTGGATTCTTGTCGCCTGTTAATGAAGTTAAATGAACAGCCCTTGTTCAGAAAAGACTGATTTAAACTGTACTTGTGTTCGAACAACTACTAAGAAAGTTCATTAGTAGTCCTTAATTAGTAAACTAAGGTTTGTACGGACTTTGTGTGTGCTGCGTTCTTTGGGGTCCGTAGCTGGGGCAGAACATCTCTCTGGGCACAATGAGAATATATCTGGTGAACAAAACTCTGCATTGGTGACAGGAAAGGCATCCGGCCAGAAAAACACTCAGCTCCATTCAGTTACCCAGACTCCACCCTGCAAGGGATTATGGGGGAAGAAGAAGAAGAAGAAGAAGAAGAAGAAGAAGAAGAAGAAGAAGAGAAGAAGAAGAAGAAGAAGAAGAAGAGAGAAGAAGAAGAAGAAGAAGAGAGAAGCAGAAGCAGAAGCAGAAGCAGAAGCAGAAGAAGAAGAAGAAGAAGAAGAAGAAGAAGAAGAAGAAGAAGAAGAAGAAGAAGAAGAAGAAGAAGAAGAAGGAGGAGGACACTATCCTAGGGTCACGCGATCACCTTTTGCAGCCTTCTGGCGAGCAAAGTGATGGGGGAAGCTAGATTCACTTTAACCACTGAAGAACTGCAGTGATTCACTTAATGATTGTGGAGAGGTAGGTCGTAAAATGCAGCAAAACCCACTTGGCAAGTGTCCGGCTTAGCAACGGGAACTTTTGGGCTCGTTTATGGCCCGTAAATCGAGGACCTCCCTCAACCGTTCATCGAATGCAACGAAGCAAAACTTCGTGGCTTCACTCTCAGCAAAGTGGATTAAGGCTGCCTTGTTCTCTCTCAAATCTGATTATTTACCCGGTGAGAAATTGGAAAAGCAGATCTGGCGGAGATTTCCCTAATTCGACTAAACGGGTTTAAAGAGGACTGACCTACGTAAGGCAAGTGGTCAGATTTCCTATCACACATTCCAAAGGAACCAAATAAGCTTTGCACCAAGTCAAAAAGAGGGCTGGGAAAATGTCTACAGACCCCTCGCATCCTGGACATAAACTGTTTCAACTCCTACTCTCAAAACGACGCTATAGAGCACTGCACACCAGAACAACTAGACACAAGGACAGTTTTTTTCCCAAACGCCATCACTCTGTCGTTCCTATCACCCATCTCCTTCCACTTATGATTGTATGTAACTTTGTTGCTGCTATCCTTAACATTTATATTGATTGTTTCCTAGTATGATTTGATTGCTTATTTTTACCCTATGACTATCATTAAGTGTTGTACCTTATGATTCTTGACGAATGTATCTTCTCTTTTTATGTACACTGAGAGCCTATGCACCAAAGACAAATTCCTTGTGTGTCCAATCACACTTGGCCAATAAAGAATTCATTCTATTCTATTCTATTCTATTCTATTCTATTCTATTCTATTCTATTCTATTCTTTCTATTCTATTTTCAATTCTATTCTAATTTTTATTTCTATTTTTATTTCTATTTTTTAATTCTATTCTGTGCTTCTATTTCAATTCTAATTTCCACTTTTTAATTCTATTCTTCTACTCTATTCATTTCTATTTTTTAATTCTATTCTATTTCTATTCTATTTTTAATTCTATTCTATTCTAATTTTTTATTTCTATTTTTAATTCTTATTTTTTAATTTCTACTCCAACTTCTATTCCTATTCTATTTTTTTTAATTCTATTCTATTCTTCTACTCTATTTCAATTCTGATTTAGAATAGAATAGAATAGAATAGAATAGAATAGAATAGAATAGAATAGAATAGAATAGAATAGAATAGAATAGAATAGAATAGAATAGGAATTCTTTATTGGCCAAGTGTGATTGGACACACAAGGAATTTGTCTTTGGTGCATAGGCTCTCAGTGTACATAAAAAGACAAGATACATTTGTCAAGAATCATAAGGTACAACACTTAATGATAGTCATAGGGTACAAATAAACAATCAAATTGTATTAGGAAACAATCAATATTTGTCAGAAGGATACCAGCAACAAGGTTACATTTCATGTAAGGATCATAAGGATACCAGCAACAAG